AAGATTCACACAATAATTTTGAATGTAAGTGTTCAACTATGTCCATATTTTGAAGTTTTGTGTGTAAATATGTGCCATAAATAGTTGTATTCATGTATATTTTTTATTAACCGCGCCTATGCTGTTGGTCGCATTTTATTTTGTATTGGGTTCAATAATACATTGTTATTATTAAAATACATTAAATCTTTGTGCTATTGCTTTGTATTTACAGATTATAATTACAAGCAATAAATACTGTCATAATATTGTGATCCAAGCAAGTCAAACTGTCGAAATCATGATACATAAAACGACAACAGACTAGAATATGTACAGGCTACAGCTGTCAAGATCAAGAAGGTATGAATATTGTTTATATAATTGTGTATTGAGAGGATATCAATACTTGACTCATTTAGCTAATATTGATATAATCGCCAGAGAAAGTTTTATGGCTTTGTATGAGAGGAGAAGAATCCTTCCTTTGTTTTATCTATATTGTGCTATCATAATACATAGCTATATGTCCATTTATTATCCAGATAACCCACTCCTGAGGAAATTATAGTGTACCCCTGATTCACTGATTGCCCTGAAGAAATAGCCCAATATGCTAAGTAGTATGCAGACCCTAACATGGCATTAGTAAATGTTTATGAGTCAAGTTGTGTGTTTATATCAAACCGAGGCAGCCCAGATACTAGAGTAAGCTCATTGTAGTGTTGTACCAACCACCCACAGATGATAGAATGGCATTCTTACTAAATGTACCTGTGGTTGGTCATATCCAAGCAGGATAGTGAGATAATCTGGTCACCAGGTATTTCCCAAAGGTAGTGCTTATTGTGACTGAGAAAAAAAGTTTAAAAAAGACAAACTTGTGTATAACTTTAATAGAAATAATGAGTCTGGCTAATGAGGTTTTTGGGTAATAGTAGGATTATGTACAAATTAACTTGGACTGTAGAATAATCCCAATTTTCATTTTGTAGCAATCACTCACCACAGAAAATTACTGTACAAATTGGCACAGGAAGGCATGTTCAAGGGAAAAGCTGGTGCAGCATTGTGTACAACAGACACTGAGACATACAGCAAGAACTGGTTTAATTTATGTGCTTCAGTTACTTCATATTGTAAGTCATTACAACTTTACAGTTAATATTATCCTGCCACTCTGGTTATAACCAATTTCTCTGCCAATTGTACCTTGTTAAATCGTAGTATGCCAGAAACTACTTGACCTGCCCTAAAAAAGTGTTACTTGTCAATACTTTAGCCAAACTTTCTGCCCAAATCTCAAATAATATAATCGTCACCAACAAAATATTAGATTGGGTTTGCTCTATCTACTGTTAGTATAAGTATGATACTTCCTCAAAAGCCCATAAGACATCCAGTGCACTCTTCGTAATATTCTCTGATGCAAAATAATTATCTTTTTAAGGGAACATGTTGGCTTAGATTAATGTTTAACAAAGAACAGTTACAGCAAAACATTTGTGGATTTTGTGCGCTACAATATAGTGATGTGTTCTTATTCGACTGTGTCAAAATGCCATTCAGCAAAGACTATTCGTTTCAAATCACCCGTACATCTGGTAACATGAACTTTAATTTGGATTACAGTGACTGATATAAACTATGTTGAAATGATTCAATTGAATCAAAACATGTAATATAAACTATAGTTTTAACCCATTGAGCCGCAATGCGCCCCAGTGTGCCCTACCTTTTTTTACTTGTCTAACACCAGACGATTTTACTCGTCAATGCATGGGGAAGCTCTGCAGCTTAATGGGTTAACCAAAAAATCTGACAATGTCTCTAGTTAACCGATTGAGCTGTAATGTGCCCCAGTGCATGCTACTTTTTTTTACTTGTCTAACGCCAGACAATTTTACTTGTCAATTTAGAAGCTCTGCAGCTTAATGGGTTAAACTCTAAAAATAATCAGTTTAAATTTGTAATAAATTCATTTTTAACCAAATTGTTGTTCACACAGAGGCAAGCGGATTTACACCAAAGCGGCGTTAAATAACCTAGGATGGTGTAAATGTACACCAAATCGGTGTTCATACCGACACAAAGTTCTATTTACACTGATGTCTCCCAGAGGCAAGAGTTTACACCGATTTTGGTGTTGTGACAACATTCCCGGATTTACAGTGTACAACTTTTTTTAAGATTTACATATTAAGATTTATATAATATTTTATGTAAAATCTTATTTATATTTAAGATACTTAAAACATTTAAGATTAAAATTATAAGATCTAGCTTCTTAAGATTCTTAAAGATTTCTGACAAGGTGTTCTTAAGATTTCTTATAAGATCTTATTAAGATTTCTTACAAGATCTTATTAAGATTCTTTAAGATATATATAAGATCTTAATGGATCCTGCAGGATGTTAAATAGGATCTTAAATTATTTTTAAATAAGATCTTACAAGATCCTATAAGATATTGCAGTTGCTTGTAAGATATATGTTAAGATCTGAGTAGGATCTTAGTAAGATCTTATAAGATCCTTTAAGATTGATGTAAGATCTTATATGATCTTAAGATTTATGTAAGATCTTATAGGATCTTTTAAGATTTATGTAAGATCTTATAGGATCTTTTAAGATTTATGTAAGAACTTATAGGATTCTTTAAGATTGATGTAAGATCTTATAGGATCCTTTAAGATTGATGTAAGATCTTATAGGATCTTTTAAGATTTATGTAAGATCTTATAGGATCTTTTAAGATTTATGTAAGAACTTATAGGATCTTTTAAGATTGATGTAAGATCTTATAGGATCTTTTAAGATTTATGTAAGATCTTATAGGATCTTTTAAGATTTATGTAAGAACTTATAGGATCCTTTAAGATTGATGTAAGATCTTATAGGATCTTTTAAGATTTATGTAAGATCTTATAGGATCTTTTAAGATTTATGTAAGATCTTATAGGATCTTTTAAGATTTATGTAAGATCTTATAGGATCTTTTAAGATTTATGTAAGATTTTATAGGATCTTTTAAGATTTATGTAAGATCTTATTTAGGATCCTTTAAGATCTTACTTAAGTTCCTTTAAGATTTATATAAGATCTTATTTAAGATCCTGTAAGATCTTACAGGATCCTAATTAGGATCTTACAAGATCTTACAAGATCTTAAATAAGATCTTACAAGATCTTATAAGATCTTATAGGATCTTACATTAAGATCTTAACAAGATCCTAATTAAGATCTTAATAAGATCTTACCTAAGATCTTAATTAAGATTTCTACCAGGGATTGCAAGCCAATTTACTCTGTCTAATGCCAGATGATTTTACTTGTCAAGGGAAGAACACTGGCACTAAATGAGTTAAAGATGGTCCCTCTCTGAAGCAAGTTTTCAGTAAACTATGAGCCCTGCTACTCATCATACATTTGCCAGCCGGGCATTTTATTAGTACAATGTTCTCCAAGATACTTAACAAAATATGGATGTCAATCATATATTAAGCCTTTATTAAGCGACAATATATCTTGATGTGCTTTACTTTACTTATATTTATTACTAACACCAGATGATTTTACTTTACAGAGAGAGCACTGCCACTCAGTGGGTTAAATACCTCTTCTTTTTTTTTGTCAAATTCTTCCATAAATTGATCTATTTCTTTCTGTAGTTTTGTTGCGTTTGGATAATTCGAAGCATATTCCTTGCACCACTCTGAAAATGTGATCAAATAAGAAATATATAACAAGGCGTAAAAAAACAAAACCTGTGGTTCCGGTTTCATATCGCAAAAAAATTAGGGTCGGTAGGTCGGAAATAATTTTTTTTTGAATATTTTTTTTCATAGTTCTTTCAATAATTAGTGTGAGAACAGACGCCATTTTGGCAGCAACCTGCAACCACCCGGAGAAAATAGGGTCGCATGGTCAATCAAGTTGAAAAAATAATAGGGTCGGCAGAAAAAAATAGGGTCGGTCGGGAACCGGAACCACAGATATTTTTTTTTACGCCCAACTATGAATAGACCTAGGACATAAACCATCAGCAAAAAACTTACTGTTTATTCCAGTTTCAATAGGTTTATCTTCAGTTGAAAAATATCTTATTTCCGAGCTCAACTGCAGAGCTTTTTGTAGTGAAGATTCCTTCTTGAAAACTACATATGCACCCTTAAATCCCTTCAAAATAAGACAATCACATGGTCAAGAGCAAGGTTCAAATTAAATACACCCTACTTTAGTATTTTACTCTGTCTATCGCCAGACAATTTTACTCGTCAAGTGGAGAGTGTTGCCACTCAATGGGTTAAATATCTGACAGAAAATAGCAACTTAAATAAAACTGCCAATAATATCATTCCACAATGGAAAACATGTACTATTAATTTTAAACATACTATTGTTTTATCTTCCAGGTTGAAAAACGATTTCTTTTTTTCAGTGACTGGACCAGGCTGTTTCTGAATGTGTATATTCTGAATTGCACCACAACCAGCAAACACATTCCGTAGCGCAGCCTAAAATATACAGTCATTAAATGAGCCATTCTCTGATCCGATGTCATCAAATTTTTCATCGCACTATCTACAGATCTTTGCCAAAAATGGTTCTCAGAATGGGTCGTTCCAGAAAAGATCCACATTTCCCCACGGAGGAAATTTCTGCCGTCCGGAGGGGGAGGGGAGAAAACATTGTTTGTGATAATAGTAAATGTATTAGGACATCCGAAGGGGGTAGGGGTGTTCACTTCCAATTTCCTCTGTGGGGGTGGTATGGATGTTTTCTGGAATGACCCAATCGAAATCGTCATACTCAAATTAGTCCAAGCTAAAAACTTTATGATGTTTGGACATTTAGGACGAGAGTTATGGCAATTGGAAAATCTTCATTGCAGTGGAAATTCCATACAAATCTATAGTAAAAATAATTCCAAATGCTGTATAAACTCACGTGCTGAATATCCAATCATCATGACATTTTCGGTACAGACTAATTTTAGCATAAAGATTTCAATTATGGGGTCCATTTCTGCCAAATATGAAGATTGGAGGGTATTAATACACCTTTACACCTTATAATATTTATAAAAGATTGATTATTGACAAACTTGTGGTCCATTCTCAGTATTCTAGCCAGTTCCTTTGGCAAATTCGCCTTGATTTGTATTTACACTATGGCGTCTGATCCATCAGAGGAATTACACGTCTAGACGAATGATCTGTGTTTTATATTAATCTATCATGTGAAAAGATGAAAATTCTACCAACCTTTGAGCAATAAGGAGGCACATTTAACACGAATAACGTCCTACCATTTGGCGTATGTTTGTTCTCCTCTCTCACAGAATGACTTTTCAAATACATAACGTGAAAAGCTTCTGTATTTTTGTCAAATTTGACTCGAATTGTTTCAAAACCTGAAATTGTAGTTTTTGTCGCCATATTGAAAACCAACGAATGTCCTTCAAGATCCTACATATATCCTAAAGTAACAGTGCTTATCATGCACTGCCCTAATACACTGCTCTATATGTAAAAGCTGGATAAGGTAACAAACTGCAGCAGCAGTTGTGCAATGCTGTTATGCTGTTCCAAGGATGTGTTCGAACTGCTTGTTCCCAGCTTGTTGACAAGTTGTTAACGGCTTGTTGACAACTTGCTACAAGGTTGTTTTGCTCAACAGACTTTTTACATGTTGTTCCAACAACTTGTTCTCGTCCTGCAATTCAACAATTTGATAACAAGTTGTGAGTAACAACCTTGTAGCAACTTGATAAAATAACAGCATTGTTACAACTTGTTGACAAGCTTGCTACAAGCTTGTTGCGAACACATCTTGTTGACAAGTTGTGAGACTTTTACGTGTGTACACACGTAAAAACGCACAAGTTGTTGCAGGTTTGCAAACAACTTGTTACAAATCTGTTCACAAGCTGTCAACAAGTTGTGTTCGCACTGCTTGTTCCCAGTTGTTGCAACAAGCTTGAAACAAGCTGTTAACAACTTGAAACAAGCTTGATGGCATTATCAGACTTGTAGCAACGTTGTTCTAACAAGTCTGATACAGTCATGATATAACAAGAATGTTACAAGGTTGACGACACAAGGTTGTAACAATATTGTTATGTCATGACAGTATCGGACTTGTTGGAACAACCTTGCAACAAATCTGATAATATCGACATGGTTGTTACAAGTTGTTAACAGCTTGTTCCAAACTTGTTGACAACTTGGGACAAGCAGTGCGAACACAACTTGTTGACAGCTTGTTGGCAGACTTGCTTACAAGATGCGAGATTCTTACGTGTGTAGTTCTGACAGGCGACATTGGGTTAAATGAGATGTGGCGCCGAGCAGGAAGATCCCGGCTGTGAGCAAGCAACAAAAAACGGAAAAAGTGATATGGTTATTGAAAAATATATAATAAAAGTGATACATCAATGGACAAGGTCGCGTGATATCAATGGACAAGGTCGCGTGATATAAAATGAGGGAAACACAAATATTTGCACAGATCAGCAATTAGCAGACATGTTTCTATAACATTATGCATGTGGCATCATTTGAATTGATTATAAATTTATGATCATGCGGGAATATTGAACAGAATCGATTTAGTTTACAGAACTAATCAACCAATTTAAATTTAAAGAGAATAGCGCTGAAATATCTACATTTTATCGCTCGTTTGACAACATAATTTTTCACGGTATATTAAGACCTATTAAAAGTGCTATTGAGCTAATTCAGACCACTTAGATATTCATGTTTCAATATACTTCAACTGACAAAACGTTCCCTAGCATAAGTTTGTTTTCCTATAAACGTATATCATAATTTTTTTATAAAGTATTTTCTAGAAAAACGAAATTAAACTCAAATTGCTACATACAAAGACGCCAAAAATGAAAACAAAAACTACTTTCGCGTGCAACCACAACTAAATAATTCATACGACATGAATAATTTCGGTTGATGCTTTGTCGATAACCCGCTGCGGACCCCAAAACAATTCGCGACTGTGTGTGTACAAATTTATATATGGACAAAATGTTATGTTTACTAAGGTCAAAGGCAAAGGTCTGACGGTATAAATTCATATTTATGTGGCGCCAAGTGGAATGTTTTGTTTCTCCTGAACAAGAGCTGGGCAAATATGCACGTAAATTTGACCTACAAACTGACAGACATGTTAATATTGAAATATAATACCCTATTATGACAAGCGAGGCAGAGTGTTGAAAGATAGAAAGATAATCCCGCTATGTATGAAGCGATATATATTCGAGACATGTTATTACATTGGATTTCATTATTAATATAAAACAGGCTGTAAAAAAGCTGGCTTTTGGTAGCGAACGATTGAACGAATAAAAGATGAATATACAAGCTACAATATATAAAGTGGAAGGGTATTCAACGAATTAAATACAAGACAGCGAAACAAACGGACAAAATAGGCATTGTTGTAGTTTTATGTTTATCATTTATGGCAAAATAGACAAGACGAATTGCTGAGAATCGCAAATGAGGATGACACAAATAGACAGAGTGGCGTAAGAGCGTCATTGTAAACAAGAGAGCGTAAACAAAGGAAAGGAGATAAACACAAACAAATTAACATCGAGTTGTGAAATACTGTGGAGGAATTTCGAATATTCCAGTATGGAATCTGTCTGAATAGCTCTTTCGACAATGTGGGAATTATTGATTTGTCATAATTGTAAGGGTTTGTTAGAAAATCCTAAGATTTTAACGTGCGCTCATTCGGTCTGCGAAAAATGTCTCGAAGAGCTTTTGAAGCGAAAATCGGAAGTCCTAAAATGTCCAGTTTGTAGTGTTGTAATACAAGTCGCTGCCGACAACGCTTTTCTGTCAAACGTGCTGGCTATTTTGAAACGTGAAACGAATGCGTGCAATGAGGACAGTGCGTGCGACGCGTGTTCTGTGCACGGGACTAGGAATTTGCGTTGCACGGATTGCGATATGCTGTTGTGCACGCGATGTTTGCACGCGCATCACGATAGCGTAATCACACGCGAAGATGAACACGCACGAACTGTGATGAAAAACGAAACGGACATATCTTTGCACGAGATTGAAAACGAATTGGCACGAAGTGTGAACGCAGACGAAAGAATTTCGACACGAAACGAGATCGGTAAGCACGAACTAGAATCGACTCGTAACGAAACTGCAACACGAAACGATTACGGTAAGCACGAAGTAGACTCCGCACGAAACGCTACCCGAAACGGGATCGATGAGCACGAAGTGGAATGGATACGAAACGCAAATGCGTTCGCACGCGACCACCAAGTACACGTGCCATTGAAATGCAGACATCATCATAAGGAAGATTTGCGTTTTTTCTGCAACAGTTGCGCGCAGCTTGTGTGCCAAGAGTGCGTCATAGCTAAACATATCACGCATATTTTCGTCTCCGCGTCAGACGCGGCACCCGGCAGCAAAGCGCAACTGAGCACGCTTCTCAATCAGACTACCATACGAATTTTGTACCTCAGCGAGGCACTGAGGGACACAAAAGACATTGAGGAGAAATTAAGGTCGCGTGTCGAGGAAATTACTCACACAATTCGTGGGCCCCGGCAAAATTCTGAAGACGGACAACTCGCTGCAGAATTAACAACCTTTGCGCAACAACATGGAAACGAAGCTTCCGAGCAAAATTCTGAGGCTGAACAGGTTACCAAATTTACAAAAATTATTAACTCAGGACAAGAATTTGATGCCACATTTAAGCATAATGATCAGGATAGCAGGAGCGATTCTATGACACCACAGACTGGCCATTGTTCTTCAAGTGAAAGGAGACACAAACTTAGCCCACAGAGAGAAGCTCTTTTGAACCATTTAAACAAGGTGGCCAAAGGAAAATTTGATGTTTTAGCAAAACATCGTAAGAAGGTTGAAACGCGGTTAGCACTTATCGAGAACTGCCAGAGATTTACCATAGATCTCATCCATAGCGGTAGTGACGAGGAAGTATTAATATTAGAGAATTGTATTATGGAGAGCTTAGGTGAGCTATGCCACAACACGCCGGAAGTACCTATTGAATGCACGGATGACGCTTTCATTGCGATGACATGGCGGGAAAATCACCCCGAACAAACCAGAGAGTTTAACAAGCGAACGGGGGGACTATCATTAAATGCGGAGCGGGTTAGCATGGACTCCAATCCAAAGATTACAACGGGTGAAGGGTGCTGTGGTAGCTGTTTTGCAACGGGGGAGGGGCTCACAAGCACCACGGTCGGACAGGATTGCGTTTTCACAGTGACAGTCAAAAACCAGCAAAACCAATCATGCATCGAAGGGCGAGACTCCATAATCGCTCGGATTAAAACTCCTTACGGTGGCTACTTTAGAGCGGAGTTGATCGAACACAAACGTGGCAAGCATAAATTCCGCTACCGCACCTATTTCGCTGGTCCGCACATCCTGCGTATAACGTTACGCGGCGAAGAGATTTTAGGCAGTCCCTTCGAGACGTTGAGCAGTGGGTCGACGGATTATTCGCGCCGAGGAAGACTGGTGACGAAATTTGGACGGTTGGGAAGCGAGGAAGGAGAGCTCTGTCAACCTCAAGGTAAAAATTTGAATAGAAAACACGTGGAATAATTTTCCTTTTTTAGAAAGTCGGGATGGTTCTCTTTTTCAGTATATAGAAGCACTATGTATGACTTGGAAAATACTCTGGAAGCTTTGTTAAAGCAAGCCAAGTTTTCTTTGACAAATTTCCCTGACAGGTTTACTTTCTCGTGTGTACGATCAACAAGCTTTCCCTGACAAGTTTACTTTCAATTCGTGAATTCCCGTGTGTACGATCAACAAGCTTTCCTTAACCTGAAGTTCAGGCCCTAATCACAGAATAGGAACTTCAGGTTAAGCTTTCCTTGACAAGTTTACTTTCTCGTGTGTACGGTCAACAAGTTTCCCGTGGCATGTTTTGTTGCTTGTGCGCACTGAATGTTGTTAAACATTTATCTCATGCCAAGGCCGACTTTTGTTTGCAAAAACAATAGAAGTATTTCTTGTACACAAGGACGAATTTTCCTTGTTCAAAAGCTCGCATGACTAGTTTTGGAACAAGGCTCCTTTGGCAAGGAAAAATTGTCAAGCTTGTTGACAAGTTTTCAACGGTTTGTTGGGAACTTGCTACAAGGTTGTTGAGCTCAACAGACTTGTTACAAGTTGTTCCAACAACTTGTTATCATCCTGCAATTCAACAATTTGTCAACAAGTTGTGAGTGACAACCTTGTAGCAAACTTGGTACCGGTAAAATAACAGCATTGTTGCAACTTGTTGACAAGCTTGCTACAAGCCTGTTGCGAACACATCTTGTTGACAAGCTTGCTACAAGCCTGTTGCGAACACATCTTGTTGACAAGCTTGCTACAAGCCTGTTGCGAACACATCTTGTTGACAAGCTTGCTACAAGTCTGTTGCGAACACATCTTGTTGACAAGCTTGCTACAAGTCTGTTGCGAACACATCTTGTTGACAAGCTTGCTACAAGCCTGTTGCGAACACATCTTGTTGACAAGTTGCGAGATTTTTACGTGCGTACAAACGAAACCAACTTGTTTTCGACATTTTCTCATTTAGGTTTGGCTGTTGATCGTCTAAGCCGCATCTTCATTGCAGACACTGGGAATCATCGGATTCAAGTATTCGACGAAAGTGGTCGGTTTTTGTTCGCATTTGGTCGGAAAGGAACAGATCCGGGTGAATTTAATGAGCCTTGTGACGTCACCATAGCACACACTGGTCACGTGATAGTTGCGGATCGCTTCAACGACAGACTTCAGTTTTTTACACCAGATGGGAAATTTGTGCGACAGATGCAATGCGGTGTCCTACGGCCGATAGCTGTAACGACTGATCAATATAATCATATTGTGATCGTCGATTCTGATCATAGTCGGGTGATGGTCATAACGATGGGTGGGGAAAGGTAAAGTATAACTTTATTTTAAAACTAGGAGGGTTTCTAGGGGGATGTTTATGTGGAGGCAAGCCAGCCCGGGTACCCGAGACGGGATTTCGCTTTTCAATATTTTCCCATTTATTTCACAAGGTTACGAAGCATCACTCGAGGAACGTCGTCGGGGGCTCGGCTTGAAAACGTACAAGATGTGGCCTGCAACCAAACTGGGGAGACTTTCCTTATTTCCCGAATTCCAGCCCTAAATTCGGGCGTTACCGCGGCAACGGAACAAACCCACGCGAACCTGGTCCAAGTGATTGACAACAACGGAGCCTATATCCGCAAATTCGTGACGCCTTCGTATGCACGAACGAAGCCGAACCTCTGCCGGCTTGTAACGGACTACGACGACCGCGTGCTAGCGACGGGATCTGGGAACAAGGTTCAGGTGTTTACTCGTATTGGCGGGCATTTGACAAATATAACTTTCACAGAGAAAGAGTGTAGCAAGATCGAAATCAGCGCTATAGCTTTGAGTCCTAGCGAAGCAGTTGTTGTGGCTGATACGATGAATGGACGTATCTTAGTGTTTTAAAGTTGTAATCATGGTTAAATGTTTGTGGAGCGAGCGCTAATAGTAATATTGTAAGAACGTGTGGAGTTATCCCTTTGTCCTGGATATATTAGCGATGAAATCGTCCTTCACCTGGCCCGATTCAATATTGGTGCTCTGGTTAATATATATTTTGAAATTTGTAAATATGAAACTATATATATATAGGGGTTTTTAGTTTTTGAAGGTTATGTGAAATCGTTCTTATAAGTCTGAATTTGTAAATTATAAAATGATATAATATATATATAGGCTACCCTGGAGAGATATTAACGGATAATCTATAACAATTTTATATGAACAAGAATATTCAAATATAACATAATTATAATCATTAACATCGAAGTTCATTGATTTTTGCACGTACAAAAAATCTTTACGTTTCTTCAAGAATTCTACAAATTATGATCATATCACAATTGAGAGTATGAAAATTATCTATGCTTTAAAATATCGGTCGCTCACACCGTCACAGAAATTGTCCGACGTAGAGAGGAAACCACTGGACATTCTGTCCGATCTAAGTGAAACTGAGGTTTATTGTTTGTTCGACACGAGTGTATTGGTGTCCGACCTAAAGGTGGAGTAATACGGGCAACAAAATTGCTGCAACTTGCAACAAAATCTGATTTCAACGCATGTTAATTGAAAATGTTTACACATACATTACAAATCACGAGGCAACATGTGTCAACATTTCTACTTAACATGCGTTGAAATCAGATTTTGTTGCAAGTTGCAGCAATTTTGTTGCTCGTATTACTCCAGCTTAACTGTAACTTTGTCCAACGTAAATCAAAATGTACCCTAGTCCAGGACTAGAGGCTCGCATGTTAAATGGAGAATCAGAGTAACGTATAAAAAGTTAACTGGAAATGTGTAATCAAGTGCGGGGTTTTCATCGTGGGGTTCGGAAATTCATTGCCAAGATTCAAACGACTTTTCCAAAATGTGCTGGTATTAATCTGTGTCTGCATTCATACTTATTTCCAAGTCAAACTGAACTCAAAGTCATCGGACATCACAATACATATGTCCGATCCGAACTCGAAGTCATCGAACATTTTGTCAGACGCTTCTCTCACCGATATTTTAAGGCCTGATTTTAATTATCTATCATTCATTTTCACTGCATATTAACGCGTGAGCTCAAAGAAACTGAGCATGTCAATTTTATAAATTGTTTTATAAAGCCTACCTCTAGAAGTATTTCGAGTTGCTTCATAATCGAATAAACTTCAAAGGCAGATTAAATTTCAGTAAATACGCACCGTCTGTCAGAGAATGGGAAAATTTTCTAAGTCGCCAGTTTCCACGGATTTCACACCGTTCATCTCGTATGAGATACGGAATTTCAATCGAATTCGATCCTTGTGAGAAAGAAATCAATACACAATGTTATACAGTATTCTATCAAGTGTACACACGTAAAAATCTCACAACTTGTCAACAAGATGTGTTCGCAACAGGCTTGTAGCAAGCTTTTCAACAAGTTGTAACAATGCTGTTATTTTATCAAGTTGCTACAAGATCGTCACTCACAACTTGTTGACAAATTGTTGAATTGAACAATTGGAACAACTTGTAACAAGTCTGTTATAAAAGCCCAACAACTTTGTAGCAAGTTGTCAACAAGCCGTTGATAACTTGTCAACAAGCTGGGAACAAGCATTTCGAACACATCCTGTTGACAAGTTGTTGGAACAGCATTGCTACAAGTCTGCTGCAGTTTGTTACAACTTGTGCGTTTTTACGTGTGTGAACGTGGTGTTGAAGCGAAAGCATTTCGCGTCAGGTTGGCAGAAACCTTGGCACATTAGGAACCATAGTCGTACGGCTAGTTGGTCACCAGCTTGTCTACAAAAAAGTTTTTGACAATGATTTTCCTGCTTACCTTGGCTGGATTAGAAAGAAGCATGACTTGTGTTACTGCTGATGGTGGAAGAATTGGATTGTATCCTGGTAGCTCATTCGATGTTGGTGGTTGAAGTTTTAATTTCATTGACTGGATGGAAAAAATAAGACAATTTGTAACAATAACTGCTACGCAATACCATACCATACCATACCATAGACAGTATCCAACAATACCAAACCATACCATACCACAGACAGTATCCATACCATACCACACCATACCATACCATACCATACCATACCATACCATACAATACCAAACCATACCACAGACAGTATCCATACCATACCATGCCATATCATACCAAACCATACCAAAAACAGTATCCATACCATACCACACCATACCATACCACACCATAGCACACCACACCATACCACACCATACCATACCACACCACACCACACCATAGCACACCACACCATAGCACACCACACCATAGCACACCACACCATACCATACCGCCCCACACGACAGCACGCCATACCATACAATACAATACAATACAATACAATACCATACCATACAATACCATACCACACCACATCATACAATAATACACCATACCATATCATACCATAACATACCATACCATACCAAAAACAGTATCCATACCATACCATACCATACCATACCATACCAAAAACAGTATCCATATCATACCATACCATACCATACCATACCACACCACACCATACGACAGCACACCATACAATACAATACAATACAATACAATACGATACGATACGATACGATACCACACCACATCATACCATACCATACATCAAATCATACCACACCATACCATACCATACCAGACATGTACTGTACACCATACAATGAGTCGCAATACCTTAGGTGCAGCGCATTGAAAGGTGAAAGTTTTGACAGGCGAAGTGTTAGTACTCATAGTAGTGACAACAATAACATGTATATCAGAACGAAGACTGCCAGAGGAATCCTAAAACAAAGCAAAACAAATGATACGGCAATAAGCCAAACTCTAATTCTGATTTTCTTCAACGAAGTTGTTCTACTCCAGGGGGCGGTTGTTCAAAGGTGGGTTAGCGCTAATCCTGGGTTAAAATTTAACCTGCTGTTTTAGTTTGTGTATTTCTGCACGTCTGTTTATTTCAAAACTTCAGAGAAGTAAACTCCTATCGATTCTGACAAGATCTCTGAAGAAATATTTCCAAATTTACAGACAAGCTGTCACGAAGTTTGCTTTGAATGTTAAGATAACCTAGGGTTAAACTAACCCAGCTTTGAACAACTGGCCCCAGCACAAACCTTCGCAAAATGCATCACAGTTTTTACATCATTCTTGTCAAGAACGTTCATTGCTGGTACGTTGCCTAGAATCACAAAGAAATAAAATGAGGCCAAAATTACTGACAGATATTTTTACTCATAAAACTAAAACAACAAACTATGAACTTCGAGGCATATCAAGTTCTCTATGTTTACCAAAGCCTCGTACAAGTAGTATGAAAAAGAGTTTCATGTTTGATGGGGCATCCGTGTGGAACTTACTACCAAAAGAAATAAGGGAAAGAAATCTCTCTCTTGGTTAGCCGGCAGCCCTCGATCAAGCGACCTACCGGCCGACCAAGTGACGACCCAAAACTTACCAGGTTTAATTTTATCCATAGACAATGAGATTCCATCTAAAGGAGTCTCGTTAGTCTGCTGTCCATTCGAGGTTGGGACAGCGGCAGGCGGTGGAGGAATACTTGGTGTAGGCTGTGGTGTAATTGAATCTCCTATATCCAGTAACAATGCATCTTTCTTCTCAGGCTGTGCAGTGTTTTCAACTTTCGGTTTGTTTTGCGATTCTTTGTGAGCGGTCAACGCTTCTTGGCCTAACAGATCCAATGGCGACGGCCCGCGAGTTTGAGGCTGCGCGGGTCTCATTCGGTTTACGACATTCGACGACCATGACGTATTTCCGGTTGGGGACATCGGTTGTGGTGGTCTGGGGAACATAATTTGTGGCCTGGGGGGAGGTATCATCATTGGAGTCATCCCGGAACTGTAAGGTTGCACCCCCCTGATTGTATTGACCGAGGCACTGGCTGTTGGAATACCAGAGCTCACGGCCGCGTTTGGCCATGGAACAAGCGGTGGTCTGGGACCCATTATGTTTTGATTGACAGGGGCGAAAGGTAGGCCAGGATTTGGTTGCTGTGTTGCAGGATATTGCGGAGTATGTCCACTCAAAACTAAAACGAAAAAAGAAAAGTGTCAAGTGTCCGTGAGTTTTATAATTGTACTTCCTAACATCACTTTCAAGACTAGAGGTTGAATTTTAGGTTAGTATGCCGAAGGTGTTAGTTGCAGTCCTGGCTGGAACGTTTGGTAATTGCGCGGCCGGGATTTCGAAAATTTAATAGTAAATATATACAGAAGCAAGTATCAAAATTGCGCGCCCGATATCTCGGTTGCGCGATACAAACTTCCCACACTGGGTTGCAGTACTATCTGTAGATTGTTCACATAGCAACCACCACCAACACGCTGTAGTATGGTGCAAAAGTAATCTTATCTCAGAGTAAAACATCAAAATTAATATATATATATATATATATATATATATATATATATATATATATATATATATATATATATATATAT